ATTTGCAGCACACATCAAAAACGTTTGAATTGAAACGGCGCATTCATAAGAACCTTCTCCTGACAATAAAACAACAGCAAAAGAATTAGCGAAATCGGTCCATCCGTTCACGCGTGATGTCGTGACCAAGGGAAATAGCGATTAATTTTTATATTTATATATAGATAGACAGTTATCTGTCAACTTGATGTGGAAAATTCTACAAATTCTTCAACTACATGTTATATACAAGTTTGATGTATTCCTATTCACACCTTCACCTTGACTTCACGAACTCGTTACATAACTTCTATTTGCGATTCTAATCCCTTAAGATTTCGCGTAAGTATTTCTGTACAGGGCTGCGTGATTTGTTATCACAACTACGCCCCGGATGATTATGCCAGGATTTTATTTACCATCTCGTTCTACTTGGATTATCGTTTCATTTCATATAATAATCCTTAAGCTATTTTTTGGAGAATGCACAGTCGACAAAACGGTTTTTATTTAAAAAAAAACTAACTAGTTGTAGGCATGATATTAAATCTTCTTTCTTTTTAACTCTCTTTCCTCACTTACATCATTTTCATGCATATCCATTCTACACTGTCTGAACTGAACATATCTTGTATCGGCTAGTACCTAGTACCTATTAAAATAATTTATTACAAAACAAAAATTTTAACAATTTTCGTCTCATGACATTCTTGAAGATAATGTATGCTATCCACGAGGATGTTTATTTGCAATATAATAGTAAAACAAATAGTATAATTCAGCTCAGATTTATAAAAAAAATATCTCTTCAGAGCCAAAGACGAAAGTTCCGTATGACACCGCTAAGGTCTTGTGTAGAATCGAATGGAATTTTATTTTAATGTTTTCAATAAATCGTACTGTGAAAAAAATATCCATAAATTTACGAAATTACGATTAGGAATTTTTATTGCTACAGATACAAAATCTGAAATCGTGAATAAATGTGTTTGTATATAAACCACAGATGTTTAAGCCCTGCGTGTAGCTTAGTATATTATTAATAACCTTTCGTCTATATTATCAGATTTCGGTAATACTAACGTACCCGGTGTTGTCATCAGTAAAATGAATATTTGATTAATTATTAAAGACCAGCTTACTTGCTAAAGCGTCTATTTTTTCCAAATTTTATATACTAGTGGTTGTACAAATATATTGGTAGCATAATCCCAGAAAAATAAAAATTATGCTTCGAGCGGAAATATGAAAAATACTGTCTAGAAAAGAATAAAAATATACTGAGCAGCTTCCTACTAAACCTCAATTTCTAGTTAAATACGAACGTATATTCGTATTTAAAGTTTGCATACTTAACCTAGACTACAAAGTTTTGTTTTCTGTGGGTTGAAACAAAGATTACAGTTTTTCTGCACAAGCTTTAAGAGACACCGACCAACTCTCGAAATTCTAAAGCTTCGAGTATCTTTAATGCATGCCCTGACCTACCTTTTGTTCGCTCGAATTTGCCGATTTATTGCCCGACCCGGTTTACCAGCTTGCTAATACCATAACAATAAGTTTAACCGTAAAACATGAACCCACAGTCTACAAAATAATATTAAAATTCCTGAACTGAGTTCTAAATGTAAAATAGGGAATTTCAGAGCCAGAACCACTGACCTCCAGACCAGACATAGACCATTTCAAAGTCCACATGCGTAGGAGTCATGTGACCAAGCACAAAAGGACATGTTTAATAATTATAGAGGTCCTTCGAGGGTGACGTTACTTGAAGTTTTAGCAATTTACCCATTTCATACCAAATATCATAATATATCGCAAATACTATGTTCATGCGTTTAAAAAAATGTTTAGGTTGGACCAATTTTAAGTAATTTTTGGTGTGGATTTAAGAATGGCTTAGATTTATAACTAGATGTTTATCTTTTTTTTATTTTTTTATTTAATGCCTGTGTACAGGACAACGTCTGACAGGACCGCTAGTAGTCATATACATACTTAATTAATAAACACCATTCTATAATAGTTCTTTTATATAATATAATGTCCTTGGTTTCAGGTAAGGCGTTACGCGCTGGCGCCTGTGATGTGTCCACTAATATGCTGTGGAGTCACCTCAACCTTGTCTGTCTAGCGTTATGCTGCTTCCATACCGCATCAGGTAATAAATATTTCTCTTTGTTTTTTACGATCTCAAATTAGGTCATGTACCAAGATTAATGCTTTTTATGGGATTAAAGATAAACTAATAGGCCAACTTGTGCTAGCCGTCTCCCGCGAAGATCTCAATACTCAACGCTTGCTGGTGCGATGATGGCCTTTAAAGATCGAACAGGATAATACAATACGCTACTAACACTATTTTATTTAACAGTTTCAAAGTAAACTCCAATTATAAATAAAAAAACTAATCAAAAATATTTTACTTGTAGAAAACTGCACTCTAGACGAGACAAGTTTAAACAAAATTTCATTGCATTCATTATGATTATTACGTTATTTACATAGTTTCGACTGCGTTTTAGCAAGAGACGGGTTATGATTAAAGTTATTATCTTATTAGCTTTGATATATTGTCATATAGCCGTGCTCACCTGGAAAAGATGGCGTGAAGTTGGTACTTAAAAAAGAAACGACCGCCGTTCTCAGTAGAACCAGGGTTCATAGCGCATCTTCAATGCTGTAAAGTAAGCCGGTTATGAGATGCGGGCCACTCGTTCGTAGTAATATAGAGTCCTGACAGTTACTTATCTAGTTTATATGTTTTCATTTACTAGTCCTTATATGTTCTGACATAATGGTACCGCGTTGACTGGAATTCTAAATTAAATCGATTTTTAAAAATTTGTTGGCACAACAACGTGTACCATTTACACATGCTACTAACTTAATCGATTCGAAACGGTGGTTCATTTACTTGTTGACTGTGCGACTTTTGAAAGGGCCAGGTGCGATCTGGAGCTCGAGACTGGCATGAGGATATCCCAGGATGGGCTATCCGACATGTTGCTTGAGCACAGATCGCAGCTGGAAAAATTCTGCGGCAAGATTGTCAGATATGTCACTCACAAAAAAAGCACGAGAGGTAACGCGGGTAGCGCCGGGCAGCGGGCCCCGACTCGCCCATAAATATTGTGACGATATTTCCGGAGTAGTTGTCGCCCGGGCCCGGCGGGAGACGCCAACCCTTTAAGGTAATAATGTCCCTTTTTAAGAAAGGGGAGATTTCGACACTCCCCTGCTGCTTAGCCACTCGGTCACATATCTGCCTGATTGCGTGTCTGATAGGCTAGGATGTAGGGGTCCCTGTTTATAAAAAAAAAACTTAATCGATTTCGAAAGAACGATGATACCTAAAACTTATTTAGTAGCTAAACTTATATTAGTTTTAGTGAATTGTGAAACTGGATGAAGGTAGATTTAAGTTAGCGTCTGGTAGACAGTAACGGTGACGCTTGGTAGTAGCTCAGCGTATAAGCACCGTAATATAGCGTGGAAATTCTGCCAGCATCAAAGGTACAGCCACAGAACCAATATTTTTAAAACATTTTAGTATTTTATGTTCATTTTGTAATTAATGATAATAATATATGATTTGTAATAATGATAAATGAAGGTTGTTCCATTTTTGAAATCGTATTCAAATTTAACATGACCTTTAGTCGGCGGAGCGGAAAGAAGATTACAATCATCAAATCAATCTCGCTACTATTCAGGCTAAAGTGTACAAAGTGATGAAGGAAAATTTTCTGAATATCTCAGCGGGCATCGCCCTATGTTTAATGAAACAGTTTTAAATTGTTCACAGTCATAAATTAAGTATGCATGAATTGGAATAGTTTGTTGATTGCAGTTTGCTTGTTGTTAATTGATTTAAAATCTGATTGCGTACTTTAAAATCGGCGGTTGCCGTTGTTTAATAATTATGTGTTTAAACGATTTTCTCTTAACATAATTTAATTTATAATGATTCCTTTGCCAGGTGTGGTTTTTTGGTTTTTGTGTTTTAAAACAATGTCTGTAATTAAAATCGACTGGGCTCTATAACGCACATCCCGTACAATCGGAATTAAATTTGGGGGTTATTGAAATTTGGTGAAAAAGATGAAAAGCATACAACTATTGTTTAAAAAAACTTGATCAGTAAACAGTTCTATCCCTTACCATCATCATGGAAACCTCTACTGTAAAACAAAAGATTGATTTAAAAAATATAAATATATATAAGGTATTGCTTTTCTGAGCCTGACACGTCAATTTCTGGATCTATGATATACTACGATATGGTTTTCTGACGACACCTTTCTTTACCAAGGATATATTGTATTAACAAAACAATCCGTTGATGCACCCGAGGTTCATCGCACCTGGGAACTGTACGCTTAACCACTAGACTTATCTTTTTATTCAACACACACATCTATCCTTAGTGTCTTATTGATATTATACACCCCTTACATGTCGTAAGGGGAAATATAAATAGGTCACAACAACAGTCCAATTAAAAATGTATAGCATTCAAACCTTTTTGATATTTTTGTTTCAATTGTTTTATTTTTGAATTTAGAATCCACTGTTTTTTCAACCAGATATCGCTACACTGGCTGAATGTAAATGAGGAATGAATTGAATACAATAAAATTGATTGTTCGCTTTGCTGCAAGTTTAGTATCACTTTACGAGTTCTTCGAGTTACTTTGTTACGTATTTTGCATAGAAACTGCTCCGCTCCTGATAATGGATTCTGTGGAATATAGTGATTTCACAAAATTAGAATGTCTCTCAAAATTAGTCATGTAATACGTGTGCCAGGGAAAGTATTCTCAAATTATGTACTAATAAAATACGACTATCATAATGTTAATTTGCTAATAAAGTTATAAACATTATCAATATTGAATTAAAAACGGAAAATAAATGTCTATTCGAAATTCAAAATTATCTCACATTGATCAAGTTATAATAAAAATTCCAAGTTTGAAAATAGAACTAGACTCTCAAATGTTTATTATTCAAAAATGGATCCGATTTCGAATATTGAAGACATACATTTTACCGCAGAACCGCATATCGAGAATCACGTCAGGACGCGTCGAAGCGATGAGCGGGACGGTCTCGCATTATCCAGAGAGATATTCAGGAATATTACTAAGAAACTACGGCAGAGCATACGAGAGGGACCGACTGACAACGATCATTTATTACAGGGTGAGTATCGATTATATACAAGTTACGAGTACGAATACTTAATGTATTTAAGTTGAAATTATTTCATTGCGGGACCTAACCAATTAGCTCGTTCTGATGTCAGGTTAAAACATATTCGCTTGAATGTAGATATTATTCATGATGAACCCTCCATATTTTAGTCGATACCAACTCCGGGGAAATAAATACAGATAATGCAACTTTCTCTACAGCTGTGATACTTTTTGACATCCAACACCTTTTGTCTTCAGTCACCGTGACCACGCACGCTGTAAAGCACGCGAAACGTCGGATAAATTTAAAATTATGCTAAATAATTGTAAATTTATAATAATACATAACTTTAATCCGGTTAAAAAGTTTTTTCTTTAAATGTGTAAAGGTTATGTTAATCAAAGACTATACTATTATTCATGATAGTCTATGGCTCTAAATAAATATTCCTAAATTATATTAGATATATGTTATCTAGTTAGCTTCATTTGTATTGTATTACTATTACATAAACTAACTAATCACTCATGTAAAATAACATAAATAACATAATATCTTATAAATCGAATATGAACCCTTTAAAATCACATACGTTGTTCTTTATTCTAAAAACGTAATCCGAAACTACATCATTCGAATTCCAAACACGAAAAGGCGTAAGAAACAACACCCAATACAAACAGAGGCCGAACAATAAACAATTTCACCCGAGCCTTCAATATCGCTCTAAAATAAAAAGCATATTTCAAACAAAGAGAAGGTATCCATCAGCTAATTGTTTGCTTGTCTTTAATGGAACATTTAGCGTTCATGCCACGGAATATAGAACAACCAACTAATGAACTATTATTTCCCGTTTATAACAACTAATCTTCCGTCATAATAGTTGTACATTTTGATGAATAATACGTCTTTTCGAAGTTATACTTCTTTAGGCGCGTTATGAAAAATTGCTGAGAGTGAAATCTTACGATGCGCGCGCACCGTGACACAAAATTAACAGAATGAAGTTGCTCACGGAAGATGCTACGGCATTGGACATAATTTAAAAACAACATTCGAATAATAATAGAATTTATGTTACTCTTAATGTAAGAGAATAATAATAAATATTTATTTATTTAATTTTTCAAATGTAAACTGAACTTTATTGACTATAATGACTCCTTTTCCAATCTTTGATTATTTAATTGTTATTAATTATTTGCATGCAATCAAAAACTATTTTTAATAATGCCAAAGAAGTATAATTTCTTACGCGCGTACATAAGTACACGCACTCTTTTTTTTAATTTTAAACTTGTAGGACAGAATATAAAATAAGTATCAGAATTTTCCATTTCATTTTTATGCTAACTTAAAATTCTATTGTAAACAAGACAAACGTATAACGTATTACACAGACTAAACAATTATATTTTATCTACGTAACAGTTGGCAGTATAATTTGACATTGACATTTAAGCTATATTTTATAAAGACAAAGACATTTAGAAAAAAATGTGGCGGGCTGAGTCACTTCTCCATTGAATTAGCATTTTGCTAAATATTTATCCCACGAATTTGTGGATATTGGCCTGTTCACAATGTGAATAATTATTATATAATTACTAGCTGCCCCCGCGAACTTCATTCCTCCTTAATGTGATTTTACTTAGCCTACCATTTTAGTACATACCAACATGGAACAATTTGCTTTGCTACCCCAGAGACTGTTCGGTTTTCCGGAATGAGCACTTTTTAGGTTTTTCTGTGATTTTTCTCTATATAAACCTCAGAGTTATAAGTGATAAGTTCTTAACTGACAAATAAAAATAGGGCTTGATCGTAGAGGGTAGATGAAAATTATGGGTTGTATTTTTGTATCCTGTATCATAAAAATATTAAAACAAAAAAATTTATCCAAAAAATAAAAATAAAACTTTTTGAAATGGACATCCCTTATCACTTAGGGGTTTGAAAGATAGTAGCCGATTCTCAGACTTACTGAATATGGATAAAAAATTCATAAGAATCGGTCGAGCCGTTTGGCGATGGGAACGAACATTGTGACACGAGAATTTTTTATATTTAGATATTTATGTATATAACCAACCAACTAACTTACAAACTTTACATTTCGATTTAAGCTTTCTATATTGATATACTTAACAACTTAATTCACTTAGTCACTTTTATTAAATTCTTAGAATTTATTTCTGTTATGTATTGTAAGCAAGATACATATTATATGGAAAACAAAGGTATCATTAATGTCCGCAGATAACGTTTTATAACCTAATATATAAGCCGTGTTCCTACAATGAGAACATTAGTGAGATGATGAGAATGAAATGAGTCTAATTTTTCATGCAAATTATATCCAACGATTGTCTCTGGCTTAATGGCGAAAACTATTAAGTTCTTTACCTAGTAGGATAGAAGGAATACCTACAATGTTTGCGTAGGTATATTTATATAGTTTCTATTGTTTATTGTTAGCATTAAACTGCAACTACGTCGGTGATGACCATATTAAAGGAAATACTGTAATATAATTAATAATTAAATTGCTAAATGAAGTTTTATTTTTTCGTCTTATAGCTTCGAATATTTTTTTAATTGCCATTATTGTCAAATGATTCACGATGAATTAATTGGTATTTAAAATACTATTTCTACGAACTGCAAAGTTAAAGTATAATTTATTTTCTACAAATGAATGAATTAAAAAAAGGAAGCTCCATTTCCGCAAAGGACAGCAACACACTCGCCAACCCCCCTATTGCAGGTGTCCATAGGCGGTTAGCACATTATTCAAAGGGACCGGATCGTTTGCAATTTGTCCCGGTCGGTACATGACCTAATTTAGCGTGAGATGCATGCTGAGACTGAAAGTAAGCTATAATAATTTCTAATTTTAAAAGCTGTTGTTCATAGGTAAGGCGGAGGAGTCCCGACAGTATGCTCCGTATCAAGAGTTGCATCATCACGAGCGACACTGGGGACCGTACTTTGAGGAGAAAAACGTCACTCAAGTGACGGCACATGTCGGGGCGGAGGCTCTACTTAACTGTAGGGTTGTCATGCTCAAAGATAAAACTGTAAGATTTTATCATCTATATTTACATGCTTGTTATACAGCCTTCCGGTATTGCCATAACATCTACATTCAAAAAAAGAACATGGAATTTATGACTTTACTAATTTGGTACTCCAACAGGCCCTTAGTTAATAGTTGCATAATATAGAAGAACACTTAAAAGTTATAACTATGGCAAAATTCAGATCACTAATGATGCTTATAGTAGAAATATATATTATTTAAAACAATATTCTTATTCCTATTCTCTGAAGTAGTTACTTTTGATTTTACTCTACTTATTTTACTTATACAAAAAACTCTCTGTTTTTAAATTATTTAGTGCCATTTATTTTGTATTGCCACGCCAGGTGATGTGGCTACGTCACGCCACTGAAACAGCACAACTTCTGACCGTGGGACCAGCGCCATATGCCGGCGATAATAGGGTAGCATCTAAATATCAATATCCAAACAACTGGAGGCTTAGCATCAACCCTGTAAAGTGGTCTGACGCAGGCCGATACATGTGCCAAATATCGACTCATCCACCAAGGACCATATATACTGATATTTCAGTATTACGTAAGTATATTATTATGCATGATGAGGACCAATAGTCTAATATAGATGATTGCTTTGGGAATATTCACAACGAATCCCTCTTCATTTATTTATTTTTAAAATGGTGATTCTATGTATTATATATTATTTATATATATAATAACATAAAATAAATAACTCGAAGTTTAGAATGCTTTCAGTATGTTAGTTATACGAGAATGTAAGTGCGTGCTCCTATTTCACCATGCCTCCATGAGGACAAATCTTTGTTTTTAATTTATTTTATTATTATTATTAATTACTTAAGATGTCATGTAGAACATGGTGTAATGGTTGCAGCTCCTTACAATCGTTGTGTAAAACAAAAAACTCTGCAATTAAAAACAGAGGCGGAGAGTTTATTGCAAGTTCTTCTCTTCCGTTCTACGCCCTCGATTTGAGAACTGGCAGTAAATGTAAAATTAGAAGCATTTCATATATATTTATTTTTGGACGTTCATGTGTACATTGTGTACAAACGTATACCTATATGAATAAATGACTTTGAATTTGAATTTATTGAAGCTCTCGATACGGCTTCTATAAAGTTTTATTTAAATAATGATTTCTAAGCACACAAATAGCGATAAAAAATTTACATGTATATATCTAACATGCGGTCAGAACAACTTATTCATTCGAGTTATTTTAAAGTGTCATATTTCCTAATTATTTCCTAAGCATTGTTTGTTTTCTACTTCAACGGCGTTTATTTTTTAAAAAATAAGATAAATTTTATACTTACTTATAATGTGCTTAATTGATAGTTTACGTACGTTAAACAGTGGAGCTCAGTGAATCACTTTCATAAAATTAGAGGCATTGTTTTGTCATTTATACTACGTCTGTAAATCAATATATTCCTACAATTTTAATGTCAATATTAAATACACTTTTATGAAGTTTCGCATATAAAAAGTTATAAAAACAACATAAATTTGCTGCCAAATCGTTGTAGACGGAAAAGAATACTTGCAATAAAAGTGGCAAGGCTCCTAAATACGCTAATATAGATTGATAGCGATAAGGATGCGGTTATAAAAGAAGCGAAGGGCGGGAATATAATGTTTATTAATATTTAGCTTTTGAAACTTGGCGCAGTAGTATTTAATCAAAATAGCATGGATTAATTAACAAATTAGCCCATTTAATTATGTTTAATACACTTATAAAAACATACCTACTGTGAAGTTATATCTACATTAATATCAAAAGAAAAGCACACTATTTAAACACCTATCTCCAAATCTCGCCTTATTTTGCACCTATATATGTAGTTATATATTATATTTTAATAGTAATTATGAACCTACGACAACTTAGATATTATCTAAACGTCACATCTACTTCTATTTTCATCCCTTGCGTAACATTGTTATACACTTGATCACTTTCCTATATCACATTTGGAACTCATAAGATAAATCACTGTATTCTTACGTCCTTCAAGTAAAGTACAAAACTAAAGTAATTTGCCTGTCCGTCTTGACCTTAAAGGTAAATTAAATCGCTGGTCGCTCCGATTATTAATAAAATAGTACCCTTAGCTGTGATCCCGGGTGCAATAGAGCCGTTTGATAGGCTCAGCCAGTGATTGGATCGCTTACATAACGATGTGGGATGGAACAATTTGTGAACGCGCCAACACACTGCATGTCGCCTGACACGAGTTCTATTAAATTTTAAGCTAAAACAGTGAAATGTTAATACACGTTATTTTAGTTTAGTGGATACTCAAGTCCGGTTTAGGATACTAGCAGAAGAAAACATTGTAAGGGAACCGGCGAGTTGGCCTTGATTTAGACGCCAGTATTTGTATAGATATTTCGACATTGACGGAGTTACTTAGACCCAAATATTAATAATGAGTCAGGCACAGAAGTATCACATTCTTGTGAAGAAAAATTATTAAAGTTGCACTCAAAAGCCAAGGGTATAATTTTTTTTTATAGAACTGAGGGCAAACGGGCAGGAGGCGCACCTGATGTTAAGTGATACCGCCGCCTATGGACACTCACAATGCCAGAGGGCTCACGAGTGCGTTGCCGGCCTTTTAAGAATTGGAATAAAGGGCTTTTGTGCCACTTCAGTATTTTACGTATACATTTTCTAATCATGTATTTCAATAGAAAAAAAGGAAGGAAATTAATAAATCTTTTACATTCCTGTTTAGATTTAGAATATTATAACAAAACGAATTTGACATTGTAATTTATTGAAATGTTCTGTTAAGTTTCTATAAAGCTTGAGATAATCAGATTGCGCAGCCTCTAAGCCGTGAAGACATTAACTAAGCAATGAATTTAAAAGAAATGGCGAATGCTTAAACGAGCGTTTGTTTGAAATTCTTCCAACCGCTTTTATCTTTTAAAACTAGGGTTAGTAAACTTAAAAGTAAAGCGATAGTATAATAGTTTTTAGAGCGTTTTTATGTTAAATTAATTATTACTGATACAAAAATACCAGCGTTATCAGGATGTTGTAGCGGTCTAAAGCATTTTCAACTTCTAGTCTTATTTAATCAACGCTGAGTACAATTGAAAAATAAGAATTGTGTCAAATTACATATATTTTGAACTAGTAGACTCGGCCAAGCGTTGCTGTGGCTAAGATTTTTGTTATATTACATAGTAGTAAACTATTCAAGAGAAACGGCAGGAAAACACCAATCCACCATGCTTTTTTGGTGGATATGCCATTAAATTGTAGCTTATGTGAAACGTTGGTAATTATTTTGATAAGGATCAATACCTAGGTACTAATAAAGAGCCTTTTCTAGCGGTGGTTTTTAATAAAAATAAAAGGACGCTTATTGTGACGTAACTATAAAAGATAGAGACATGCTGTCGCGACAATTTTTAAAAATAGAAAGTGATGTGTCCTAAAAAATTGTAATACATCATTTTGCTCTACCATTAATAGTTTTCGCAGCGCACACGATTGAAGGAAGTTTTTTGTTTATTTTTTTACACCTTGGGTTAGATTATTCAAGCTATTTTAGTAAGCATCCCTATATCACTCGGGAATAGTGTAGCTTGCCAACGGTGAAAGAATTTTTAAAATCGGTCCGTAGTTTCGGAGCCTATTCATTTCAAACAAACAAAAAATCAATCCTTTTCTCTTTATAATATTAGTATAGATGAGATATAGGCGTCTTGCTTCATTTAGTCACGAGGACTTTTCTTCCATATTTTATTCAGACTATTATGCCATATAACGTATCAATGAAAACAATTAACGCTTATATATATATAGTAATGTTGAGCAAGACATACGATATTTATATATCAAAATCCCACATAAACTACGTTATTCGTGAAGTTTATTTATACCAGTTTATTATTCATACCTGTCGTTTTCAGCTCCAGTTCTAACTATCAACGGGGACTCAACACATGACGTCAAAGACAAATTCTATAAAGCCGGTAGTTCGATTAAATTAACATGCGTTATATCAGACGAATATGTATCGACATTACCGACTAAAGTGCCAATATTTACAACTGCTATACCCACAACCATTCAAACGACCACAGAGTTAACGACAAAAATGAGCACAATATTAAATAGATTAGATTTAATGTTAAACAAAAGTTGGAGCGTTGAAACTACAACATTGACTTCAACAGTTAGCTTAAGTACTACAACTATGAAGAATGAAATAACAACGCAAGCTATGCAACCAGTGACTAGGCCAGTATTGAATAATATTTACGGCTTAGTATGGAGGAAGCAGGGGAAAGATATAGAAAAATTTATCACGTGGCGTAATATGAGGTTAGTGTTGTTTTTTATTTCACCTGGAATCGAACGTATGACTTACAGGATTACGCAGTGTTTTACAAACTAACTCTCAAGGGATGAATTTGTTTAAATGTATTATATCTGTCTTGCAGTGCTACATTCAGCGTGTCTTCAGCGTCCCAAAATGACAGCGGACTGTACAGTTGTCATTTGTTAAACCATTCTCAAGTTATAATTAATGTACACGTTCTTAGTGGTAAGTACTTAACAAAGTCTCACTCATATGGTCAAACTAATACGTCTAACATACCAAAATCGACGGTGTGTGTAATAGGCTAAAGAAATCTGTGGAAGTGGTCAAGACCTAGGATTTTATTAGCGTTTAGATATAAAATATTATAACAATGTCGTGGTTAGGATAATTTCGCTTATTTTTTTATGGCTGCAAACTTTATTTAATTGATGATAACTATCCAAACGATTTAAACGAAACTATTTTTAATTTGCTTGTAACTTTACCTCAGGAATAGGCATTTACGAAACTAAAGCTATGTTCAATTTGGAGCTAAATTATGACTAAATATTATTTTATATTTCAGCAATAACTCGCTAATGTATGTTAAATTGAGCGAATTTGAATTGATTTTTAAAACCTCATTACAGGTGAAAACCAAGCAGCGGTCCATCACGACACCTGGAATAAAGGTTCCCTGTTCTGGCAGCCACAAATCCTTAATCTCCTAACCATACCTATGTTACCTTTTTTACTTAATTTGGGTAATTAGATAAATTAATTGGTATCGGTTACATATAGGATTAAATACGCTTTAAATTTCCTTAAAAGAGAAACTCGTTTAGATCTATCGAAGGCTCTACAATTTAACAATGTCACGATTATCCTTCTAATATATTTAATTTGTGTAAGTTTTAATGTTTTTTAAGTTATTCAATATCGATTAATAAGATCCTATATCTTATAAGAGGACATTCTCATCCAGCCTCATTCATTTCAATTTGGGAATCACTTTTTAATTCGCTCCATACCTTTGTCTATAAATTAATTGGAGGTGTATACTGTATATTTAAAATATAAGCACCTGATAATATTTTGTTTAATGCAATGCGTGATAGTGAAATGTTTTACTAATATCCGTTTTCATATTCCTAATCTACTTACCAAATAAGATACCTGCTTAAAACTATTAATGATTAATCAATCTTAAGCTCTTGTGTATCCAAAACTCGAGCCGTCGATGTTTCTGTGAAAAACGCATGTCTGTTTTTCCTAAAGAAAAATCTACTACGTACCAATTTCATATTTGAATACTGAAATCGGGCGAATTGAATCAGGTTGCTATGGTGACCAACTTATCGGTTATTAAATTTGGAGCTGTAAACTAACTTAATGTTAAGAAAAATACATTGTATATAATAATCATTAGTTTAAATACTTATATATCAATTAGATGAAACATTATAAACATTACAAGCGACAAGTATTTTATGTAAATATTAAAATGTTAAGTTTTACATAGCAATTGTTTACAGCCAAGCTGATTTGTTTTTATTTATACATTGTTTTGTTACAATTTATGACTTCTATTTGAAGAGTGAATGTTAATTGTAATATGAATAAATACATTCTTGATAACGATAATGTGAGTTTCAATAACAAACCAATTATTTGTTTTTATACTCTGATTTATACATATTTATTCAGCTATGTAAAATTTTGGCAAAACCTTTTTGACTTTAATGACGTGGAATAAGTGATACATGTATCTTATGTTCCATAATAAACATATTTTTTTTTGTTTTTTAAAACTTATCTGTCGTATTTCTACCTAAGCAAATATTCTAAATATTCCACAATATAGTTGTTACTTTATAAAGTTTTCCAAAGCAGGAACTTTATAAAGATGTCTTTAATAATATTTATCCGCACACAAGGTCTTAGTTGTTCAAGGATTTAGCGCATAAATGGAGAAAATTAATAATGTACGTATTTTCTCTAACGAAAGAGAAAGCGTAATGAGGCCTGAGACGAATTGAATATTTATGGCAAGATTTTGTTCAGAGTCGTCTAAGACAATTTTATGTCATTAGACGCTAAGATATAATTTATCAATAGGTACTATGAATAGATAGTGAAATTAAAATATGAGATATTTGACTAGAAGTTTCACAAGTGATGACGGTCCACAGTTAATTTGTACAGTCGTGTAACTGATCAGCGTTCTGTAACCCCATTCAAATTCAGGCCGACTGCTCTTTGACGAATTGAGTAAGAGTACTTGTATAAGTGTTTATATAAAAATAGTTCCTCAAAATAAAGAAATAATATAATGACAGTCTTAGATTACTGCAAAGATAACCTACAATTCCTACATCTCCAATTATTGTGCCTATAAATTGCAAGTGAAGCAGGTTGGCTGAAGTTTTCACTCCTTAATAAAAAAAATTGAGGGACGCCCCACCAAAGCGTTACTGTACAACTAATGTGAACTTACACTTTAACATTTTGCTTATTGAAGTGTTTTTCAACCATCAAATTTTTTTCATAAAGAGGATATTTCTGTGCTTTTCACCTGCGTATCGCGACAGAAGGCGTTTTGATCGATCCAGTCTGTTTAATTTTAAAGATTGATTTAGCACATGTCCTATATATCGACGATAAACACCGAGCTTCAGGTCTTGTTTTATAATACGCGAGAGAGTCCTAACAGGAATCTTCATTTCTCGCGATAGGAATTTTTTCCTTCCTAATGGGGTTTCGACGAATTCTGGATTTAACCTTTGTAGTTCTAACAGCACGCGGCTGCTCCGATATTTTCTGGTCTTCGACAGACGAAGTGTTTTTATACGCTGATAGACGGCTGATACCAAGCTTTTGAAGTGTCTGGAATAAGAAGGACGGCTCCATACACACTTTGTGCAAGGCGATTACTGCAATCCTATACTCTTTAACACCCCATTCCATATTGTAATTCGATAATGAACAATACGTATTCCAAATTCAAAATAATTAAAAAGTTGAAAATAAGAAAAGTTTTTAAGTAAAAGTATTTATCGCCAGACTAGTTAGAAAAACGTTATACTCATTTTTAAATAATATAACCCTTATATTCATATATTTTATAATTTAGCTTCATTTCGAGAGAGTTCAATACATCTTTGAAATGTAAATCCCTCAATGCGGAACACAATTGTAACAAGAGTATCAGAAAAATACGAGTAAAATGTTGAACAGATAAATTGAGACGGGTACTGTCTGTTTAAAATTCCATATCACGTACATATGTTATAGATGATGCACGTTAGTGCATGCCTGATAAAGTAGTTTATATCTTTGTATTATTGCAAAAGAGAGCGTGAGTTTAAATTTTATATTTTAATAGTAATTGACTCACGGCTTGTGCATTGTCTAATTCTTATACATACCCTATGTAAGAACTCAATCCCGTAGGTGTTAAGTACAAGTAAACAATTTAAAACAAATTATAACATTGTACTTGGGAAGGAAACGAGGCCGTCAAATAAAAATATGGGATGACGATCTGCCGGAAGAATGGAGATGACCAGCTCGTGAAAGAGGCGAGTGGAAACAACAACTATGTCGGAAGAAAACCTAACCAACTAGTGTTTTTTATAAAAAAAAAATACGTGTGGCACTCGGAGACTGCCGCGGTAAAGCTGATTTTTATAAACTTTTATTAACTTATGCAATGTAATTATTTATTTATTTTTTTCAGTACTTTTTTTCTTTGATAATTAAGGTAGGTTAATTCAATCTACCACTCTACCAGACTCAGACTAACACGCCTATACGATCACGCTAAACCGATGTGAGACGCAGTATGCGTTCTGTCCCGCTCTAACGCGTATTGGCCGCACCTATATTACGTCATCGTGTGTTAGGTTTATTTCGTTACGGAATTTCTTGATTCGGTCGCCACGCACAAAGCCCACGATAAAATCTATGCAATAGCTTAAAAATGTTATCCTTTAGATTAAAATTATGTAAATGTACTATGTATTTGGTTAGTGAATAAAGGCTTATATTAATATTATAACATTGTCGTACAATTTCCATTTTAAATTAAGTTACATTATCATCGCAGCCTAATTACGAGCATAAAAAAAATTAAGTCCCGCTCTAACGCGTATTGGCCGCACCTATATTACGTCATCGTCTGTTAGGTTTATTTCGTTACGGAATTTCTTGATTCGGTCGCCACGCACAAAGCCCACGATAAAATCTATGCAATAGCTTAAAAATGTTATCCTTTAGATTAAAATTATGTAAATGTACTATGTATTTGGTTAGTGAATAAAGGCTTATATTAATATTATAACATTGTCGTACAATTTCCATTTTAAAATTAAGTTACATTATCATCGCAGCCTAATTACGAGCATAAAAAAAACATTAAGTGGTAGCAATAAAGAAATATATTTTAAAAATTTGCCAAGTTAAAGAAGTTTCAAAAATACTTTAATCTATAAAACGCTTCGCAAGAGCTGTGCGAACTTTGTCAGCTGTTTGTTATGAAATTGTGCACTAAGAAAAACTCAACTGAGTAACGTAATGAGAAAATTTTACTGGTTATTTATGATACTAGCTGCGTCCCAGATTTTGTTAAACTTTAAACTGGAGATTTTAATTCTGTCGTGAAAATGTCGACTAATTATTTCGGAAAACGGAAGAGCTGTGAAGTGTTGATTGCACATTTGGATTTTAGACGGTGAATTTTCAAACGCTGCCGGACTCAATTAATTTACAAGTACACATGTCTTTAGTTGGCTTTTAAAGGTGTACGAGATTAAATAGAATTACGTATAATCTGTATATAACATGATAGGACGCGCCTAGTGGATAAAGAATAAAAAAGTGTGTGTGTGTTAGCTACGACGCACGATTGGAGTTTACTCCTGTTCTGTGGCTGTCGACCATATTTTCATACTAAAGGTGGTAAGAATATATGTTTTTATAATATAAATGTTTGTAGTTGTAATAAAACGTACCTACATCATCTATGCCCAAATAGGATTTTCTTTCTGTGACCAAAGTTACCTTTATAGTAAGAGAAAAATAAGAATGAACAATCTTTTTAGTTTTAATTTCACTGACCATTACTATTGACAAAACTCTATGGCACGCTAGACAATCTACTTTTATTTTTTACACCTGTCAACACTGACAATGTTGTAACGTGGCTGTCAAAACGTGAATTCAAAATAGAAAAGTCTGTGTAATGTATTCCATCTCATTCTTTTACACGTTCAATCCTACAGATATATATGTTTGTCTCTTTCTACATAACGCCTCAACTTTTCGTGTTACACTTGATTTTACTCCTCATAAAATTTCCGTACCGGGCCTTATAACTCAAATCGTTTCTTAAGGAGTAAACTGAATATGTTTGTCTCTTTCTACATAACGCCTCAACTTTTCGTGTTTCTACATAACGCCTCAACTTTTCGTGTTACACTTGATTTTACTCCTCATAAAATTTCCGTACCGGGTCTTATAACTCAAATCGTTTCTTAAGGAGTAAACTCCAATAAGTCAATTTTAAGTCAAACTCGGTATACATTACATTTCACTAGTTGAATAGCCTTGATCAGAGCTTCTACTTATTGGATATAGTACAATTTAATTACGGATCTCCCCATTATTTGATATCTGCGTGCTGATTGGTGAGCTTAGCTCAAACAAGAAAATAAAATCTGCTGATATACGATTATCTGGAATTCCAAGAATATGTGCCCTCTATATAATTCG